AACAGCATCTGTTAAACAGATGAGGCTTTTTTGCCTGGATTGTTTTCAGTTTTCTTGTCAAAGATTAGTTGGCTATACATGTGTTTACACCTTCTGGTATTTCTATTCTGTTCCACTGATCTTCTCTGTTTCTGTACCAGTACCAGACTGATTTGATGACCACTGCTCTGTAGTATATCTTGAGGTCTGGAATTGTTATTCTTCCAACCTGATTTTTATTCTTTAGGACAGCTCTGGCTATTTGTGGTCTCTTTTCAGATGAACTTAAGTATCTTCTTTTCTATTTCTGAGAAGAATGCTGTTGGAATTTTGATGGGGATTGGGTTGAATCTGTATATGACTTTTGGTAATGCGGTCATTTTGATGATGTTAATCCTGCCAATCCAGAAACATGGTAAGTTTCTCTATTTTTCAATATCTTCTTCTATTTCCATTTTTGATGTTTTATAGTTTTCATCATAGAAGTCTTCTACATAGTTAGCTTAATTCCTACATATGTAAGATTCCTCACCATTATTTTAAAGTGGACTGTACTTACAACTGCTTTCTCAGCCATGGAATTATTTGTGTACACCAGTGCCACAGATTTGTGTTCATTAATTTTGTATCCTCCTACTCTGCCAAAGTCTCTTACGAGTTCCAGTAGTCTCAACTAAGTTTTTTGGTTCTGCTATGTAGAAAATCATGTCATCTGAAAATAGATACTTTCAGTTCCTTGTTTTCAGTTTGGATTCCTTTAATTCCTTTTTCTTGCCTAATAGCTATGGCAAGGACTTCCAATACTATACTGAAGACTAGTAGTGACAGTGTACATTCCTGTCTAGTTCCAGATTTTAGTGGGAAGGCTTCCAATTGTTCTCCCTTTAGTATGATGCTGGCATTGAGTTTTTCATAAACTGCTTTGATTGTGTTGTAGAATGCTCCTTCTATGCTTATCTTGCTTAGGGTTTTCAGCAAGAAGTGGTGTTGGATTTTATCAAATGCCTTCTCTGCATCTATTGAGATGTTCACATGGTTTTAACTTTTCATCTGTTGATGTGTTGTATCACATTTACTGATTTGCAAGAGTTGAACCCAGCATGCCAGGGATGAATCCCACCTGGTCCAGGTGAATGATCTGCCTGATGTAAGATTCTGTTGGCTAGTATTCTGTTGAGGTTCTATGCATCTATGTTTATCAGGATATCGGTCTGTAGTTCTCTTTTTCTGTTGTTTCTCTATCTGGCTTTGGTATTAAGATGATATTGGCTTCACAGAAAAAATTTGGAAAAATTGCCTCCTTATTCTTTGGAAAAGCTTGTAAGAGGATTGGGGTAAGTTCCTTTTGAAATGTTGGCTAGAATTCAGCAGTGAAGCCATCTGGTCCAGGACTACTCTTGGTTGGGAGGGTTAATTGCCGATTCAATCCAAGTATGTTATAGGTCTATTTAGATTGTTAATTGCATCTTGATTCAATTTCGGTGGATTGTATGTGTCCAAAAACTGTTTTTTTTCTAGGTCTTCTGACTTGTTTGCATATAGTTGCTTGTAATGGCTTCTAATAATCCTCTGTATGTCTGAGGTATCTCTGGTTATACTTCCTTTCCTTTCTCTGATGCTACTGATGTATATCTTCTCCCTCCCCTTTTTGATTAGTTGGGCTAGTGGGGAGTCTATTTTGATTTTCTTGAAGAACCAGCTGATTTGTTGATCTTATGTATAGATCTCTTGGTCTCCCATATTTTGATTATTTCTCTTTTCCTACTAATCTTGGGATTGCTTTGCTGTTGTTTTTCTAGTTCCTTCAATTGTAAGGTTAGCTCATTTATTTGGTGCTTTTCTAGTTTTTTAACATAAACATTGATTGAGATAAACTGTCCTCTTAACACTGCCTTGTGTCAAGTCTGATATATTGTACTGATGCCTTCATTTGTCTCAAGCAATTTTTTAAATTTCCCCTTTAATTTCCTCTCTAACCCAATGCTCATTTAGTAACATAGCATTCAGTCTCCATGTGTTTCCAAGTCTTCCTGGGTGTTTTGACTTCTTGGTCTCAAGTTTCACTTCATGACGGTCTGAGAAGATGCATGGTATAATTTCAATTTTTAAAAATTTGCTGAGGCTTGTTTTGTGGCCTACAACATGGTCAATTTTGGAGAAGGTTCCATGTACTGATGAAAAAAAAAAAGTGTATTCTCTGTAGAATGAAAGGTTCAATAGATATCAACTAAGTCCATTTGCTCTAGAGTTTGGGTGAGTCTGTTGAGTCTCTAGAGTCTGTTGTTTCTTTGATGAGTTTCTGTCCCTTTGATCTGTCCATTGATATTAATGGGGTATTAACATCACCCACTATGATTGCACTGGAGTTTATTTCTCCCTTTAAGCCCATTAATGGTTGTTTCACATAGCTAGATGCCTTGGAATATGGCGCACACATATTTATTATGGTGATCTCTTCTTGCTGAATGGATCCTTTGACTTTTATATGGTGTCCTTCTTCATCTTTTTAAATGTTTTTCACATCAAAGTCTAACATCTGATGTATGAACGGCCATATCTGCATGTTTTTGCTTACCATTCATTTGGAATATCTTTTTCCATCCTTTCACTTTGTTTCCTCTGATATTGTTGGTGATATGTGTCTCCTGTAAGCAGCAGAGAGATAGGTTGTGTTTTTTGATCCAGTCCTCTATTCTATGGCGCTTTCTTGATGAGTTTAAGTCATTTACATTCAACATTAATAATGGATAGGTGGCAATTTGGTTCTGTCATCTTAGTAATAGGTTGTTCTTTAATTGAGTCCTCTTTTAGCCTTTTAGTGGGATGTTGTTCACATTTGCCTTTGGTTTTGATATATTACTATTAGGAGAGGTGAATTTTTGGAGTTTTCTTTATTGTAGAACGATTTAACTTCATTTTCAAAGACAAAGGAGAGCGTTGCAGGATGTGTTATTCTGGGCTGAAAATTTTTCCCTTTTAGGGTCTGGAATATGTCACTCCATTCTCTCCTGGCCTGTGGTGTTTCCTCTGAGAAGTAAGCTATGAGTTTGATTGGGGTTCCTCTAGAGGTCACTTGATTTTTCTCACGTGCACATTTAAGGATTTTTTTCCTTATGTTAAACTGAAGAGAGCTTGATTATCATGTATCGTGGTAAAGTTCCTTTTTGATTAACTCTGTTGGGAGTTCTGGGACCCTCCTGTATATTGTTTTCCAATTGTTTCTCCAGATGAGGGAAATTTTCTTTTAATATTTCATTAAATACATTTGTAAACCCAGCTTCTCTTTATGCACCTTCTGGGATGCCCATAATTCAGATGCTGGGCTTTTTAATCTTATCTTTTAATTCTTAAATACTTCATTTAGCTTGACCCAGCTCTGCTTCCAGCTTTTTGTTTTTCCCTGGTGACAGGGAATATCTTCCAATTCTGATATTCTTTCTTCTGCTTCATTCTGTTTTTGAGACTCTCCACTGTACTTTTAATTTGCTCCACTGTATTCTTAACTTCTGAAATGTCAGCTTTCATTTGATTCATTTCCTGTGTGACATATTCCTTAAATTCTTTGAACTCCTTATATTATGTGGTTCTCACTGTTGGTCAGAAACTTTATAATGAGTTTTCTGAATTCTGTGTCCCCCATTTTCTCAATGTCTTCCTCAGTTAACTCTGCGGGTGGTAGAGGCCTTTGCTCCTTTTCCACAGAGTCTTTGGTAACATTCATTATGCCTCTGTCTCTTCTTTCAGCTTTTGACACTGCAATCCTGTTTGGTGGATTCTTCTCCTCAGTGCAGATCTCTAAGATATATTACCTACAGGTCTACAAGCCGACTTTTAGGTTCAATCAGTGTCCTGGATTAGGACGCCAACTGTCCTAGATAACTGATTTGTCCAAGGTGCTCATCTTGTCAAAACACACAAGATGGCACCTAGCGGCGCTGTTGGCCTTTGGATCTGGGGACCACACAGATCCTGCAGGACATGAAGCTGGTGCTGTCCTCCCCGTGGGATCAACTCAGCGTGACCAGCCAGAAATGTACCCATTGAGACATTCGATCCCTGTGCCGAGAGCTCCGTCCCACCACTGGTCTGCCCCTCGGAGTCCACAGCTACCTCTCTGCTAAACTATTCATCAGGATTGGCGGGTCCCAGCCTGCCTTTACCACCTGAGTGCTCTGTGCGAACCTAAGCTTATACTTAGCTGCCACAAGAGCTGATCCATGGTTGCTGCTGGATACCTGCCACTGAAACTCGGACTGCTGCTCACTGGTGGCTGGTGGGTTTTCTGTTCCCTGTAACACCACTCTGCCATTGCCGTCTCTTCCCTGTGTCCAGTGGATCTCCAGGTACTCTGCTGCTGACTGCCTGGCCCCTATCTTCTCCTATAATCTGCTCCCTGTGCCTTACCCTATCTAATAATTCTCCATCCTGCACCCTGTAAGGACTCCATGTTTGCACCCTGTAAGGACTGGTGTTCTTAGAACTTCTTTGATAAATATACCGTTCTGTGCAGTTAACACCATAATCTGTTTACTAGCACTTCAGGACTGATAAGACACATTCATGACACATGTGTTGAAACTGCAACATCTTGTAAGAATTTCTTAAGAGGAACAATCTGTTTGGCTACAACTATGACAAAGCTTCAGTGTTCTGGATATGACCAGCAAAGCAGATCCTTAACACAAATTTCTCAATTATCTTTGTGTCTCCAAAAGTAGGCCCATCATTTCTTTCCACCCCAATCTATCTAAAAACATTTCATGTTACTGTGAGACATAGCAGTCTGCTAATAGCCATAACTTTGAAGAGGATGTAAAACAAAATTTCTCAACAGGTGGCAACATTTATTGAATGAGTAATATAAGGCCAAAGGATATGCATACAGGAGTGAGTGAAAACACATTACATATTAAAGTAGTCCTTACAAGAAAATCTGGGAAAAAAGCCCTTGTTTCAAGGGAAATATTTTTATCTCAGATAAAACAAATGCATACAAATTAAAGCAGAAAGCAACCACTTACCCACTGGGCTGCTTCCAGCTCCATTTGGCACTGTGAGATCTGAAGTACTCAACATCCCACCTAACAATGTCCGAGACAGGAAAGAGAGGACAAAAAAAGGATATGAATCAGCTCTCCATATTTGACTATGAACTAAACAGAGGTAATCTTCATCCCATTCCATAGAAACCACAAAAATGAAACTGTAGGCCAGTATATATAGTGGGTAAAGCTGCCAGCTGAGACAGTAGCATGCCATACAGGCAAAGTTAAGTCCTGGCTGCTCCACTTCCTATGCAATTTCCTGCTATGTCCTGGGAAAAGCAGCAGAGGACTGTCCAAGTACCTGGGTCCAGCCACCCACATGGGAGATGCAGATGAAACTCCTGGTTCTTGGCTTCATCCTGTTCCAGCCCTCAATGTTGTGGCTATCTGGAGAATGAATCAGCAGATGGAAGATCTCTGTCTCTCCCTCTCTTTCATATAGTAAAAAAATATACCGCACCCCCCCCCCCCAAAAAAAAAACAAAACCTGGACCAGAGTGAAGCTGGCATTAATGGGGATAGGGTTTATGCAATACCACTAAATCTCAGACTCAAAGAAGAGGAGACACAGCTACAGCAGTAAATGCAGTACACATTTCTCCTGAATTAATCACCTTACAAAAGACACGGAAAAGAACAACAACATCTACTTCAAGCAGGTAAGCCTACCTCTATCCTAACATGAAAGGCCCACACTCACCATTATCTTTGTTCATACTAGTCTAATTAAAATTTTTCTTTGACAAAGCAAAGTTCTCTTATGACAAGGAAAGCTTAAAGATGTCAGATTCCTACATTGTCCACTTTGACACTATGCTAGATTCATATTTTTCTAAAAATGCAGTTAGTTGCTTATGAAGGACTACACTATTTAATAATATGGGGGAAATAAGTTGGGGAAGAGAATATGAAGTGGGAATAGGGGAAATCCCAGAGCCTATGGAATTATACCATAAATGTAAAAATAGAAGAGGGGTAAAAAAAATGCAGTTAGCCACACAGCAGTGACTCTTGCTCAACAAAACAAAAACTAAGAGTAGCAGGTTTGAAAATACCAAGTTAGCAATTAGTTTTCCACACTTTTTTTTAACAAGGAATCAGCAAATAACCATCAGCACACACCTGCATTACCAGTACTTGGTGGTCTCTGAGGAGCTCCAGGGGATACATTTCTATGTAACGTGGCTTGAGGTGGAGACAGCATGTTTGAGTCTGCTAAAGTGGAGCTGGCTGCCAAAGACGGTGACACAAGTGAACTCCCTGGGCTAGTGTACGGCAAAGCACTTGGGCTTGTCACTGGGACTGTGACAGACATTGAAAAGTTCTGAGGTGGCAGGCCAGGCTGTGAACAAAGAACAAAGAGGAGAGATACCGTCAGTTACCTTTTCATCTAGGCAAGTAACTTATGACTCTGAGAAGATAAAAGTAAAAGTACAACACAGGATACGTTCCTAATAAATCTTCAAAGTCAAGCTATTTTGTTTAGCATTATATTTGAACATGAGTATGTTTGATATTGAAACTTTTAGTTTATTTTTATAAACCAATACTTATACACTACAAAATCTCATTGTTACCAAGTAAGCATAAATCTGTACAACACAAATCAAACCAGTTTAGTAACATTGTATTTCTACAGGGAAATCAAGAACACAACAAAAGGAAACCAGAATATATTTATTATTAGGTTAACAAGTCAAATTTGGGTAATTAGGAATAAGTTCCAGTAGATTTAACTGTTGACATACTTGAATAACAAAAGATAAAGTGCCAACAATACAAAGCCAATATAATAAAACTGCAAAGAAACTTAATCAAAATTAACTGCTAACAACCTAGTAATGACCTTTTGTTAAGTTCCTTAAATTTTGCAGAATAAATTAGAAAAATGCTGTCTTATTTACCTCCAAAATACCTTATATACCCTCTTTAAAAAATATTTTCTATTTTCCTCTTGTATTTACTCCACAGACCATTTACAATAGAATTGCTAACCATGATAAACAACACTTCTCTTTATCATTTAAAGAACAGGGAAAATTTTCCTGCCTGCATTTTAAAACAGTGATTTGCAAAGTAAGTTCAATATTGTTAATTCAAAATTGGATGGATGCAGCTTATATATGCAATTGAACAATTTATTTCAGGTAGAAAAATCATGATAATTCATCAAAACATAATAATGGATGTAAGTTTTCAAAAGTAGAACAACTTTTTCTTTGTAATGTTTTATCAACTCAACATTAATGGCAAGAACAACATCTTTATGAGGTCACAGAAGGGATTTGATTTTGTTTGCTATTGTTTTTATTTTTAAGAACTAATAATGGTATTAGTCTAAAAGAATCTCCTTAAAGCAATTTTCCCTAAACCGTTGCTTCTTACAATATAGCATTATTATGAAGAAATCATCTATAACACATGCTTCAGGGAACAGTTTTAAGAGAATTAACTCTGATACTAAAATAATCACAACCAGAGCCAATTTGTTCCATGAAGCTACACTTCCATATACAGATTAAGGAAATTAGATCCAGAATTTCAGGCTTAAGTAACTTGTTAATGGAGCTTCCAGTGAGAACAACTCTGAAGAACTATTAAGTCCAGAAGTATGAGCTCAAAGTAGATTTACCACTACAGTAAGATGTATGATTAAAGTAACTATTTTGCAACAAGTTTAGCACGGCTTCTCGAATTTAACATGAAGCCAGATCTCTCTTCCTCAGTACCTAGAGCATAAGAAAAGCATAGGAATTTGGTGCTATCCTTGCCAGGTGATGTGGGGACATTTACAAAAAGCCACACAGAAGTAAACTTAGCTCTTTATTACAGCAACCGTATGCAACCATTTTAAAAATATGAGAAGCATCATATTCTGTAACAGAGCCAACTCTTACATCTTACATTATCAACATCTATTTAAATACGTATCATATACATCTCGTCTTTAAGTCATGGGAGAGAGGTGGAAGTCTGAGCCAAATCCCAACCTCACAGATAAAAATTTCATGACATTTAGGCACCCAACCCAAGATCACTGGAGAACTAAGAAGCAGAATCTGGACTAAGATACTTTCATTTCCACATTTAAGATACTGAACATGTAAGGTTCCAGCACTTTGAAGTTACATAAGTGAGCAAGAGTACTTTCCTCCATTGTACTTACTATCCTCACCCATTGTAAAACAAATGTGTAGCCAATCTCTTCATGCACAGATAAAAGCATAAACCATACTCTTAGTACTCACTGCGATTTTATGATTCCTCATCATATTATCAAATTCCTCATTAATTTTTTTATATTTTTCTTCTGTATGTGGAGTTAGCACATATGAAGTATCAGGGTCTGGGCTGTCGCACCCTCTGTGCTCCTTCTTGTTGAGAGCCTAAATAATGAAGTTAACAAAAAGGATCAACAAATAAAAAGTAGAGGTAAAGTAAAAGTACTTACAGGGCCTCGTTTGAAAATAAAATCACTATCTTCATTTAGTTTGCTGAATCTGTCCTCCGAGAGTGGACTGTGCTCAAAGTAATCGTCAGCATCAGGGCTCTCACAACCATTAAGGCCTTTCTTTCTTAAAGTCTGAAATACAATTGGAAAATTCACACACAAATAATACTAACTTGCCACGAGTGTTTTTGTAAACTGCATTAAGAGAGCACAGACTGATATTAAGCAAGAGCCACTGAAATAATTTTTAAATGATCATAAATGTACTCTGATTCTTCAGATAATATAAATGATATACAAGAAACATTAATTTACTATTATGCATTAAGAGAAAAGAAATATTGATTTACTTATTTGGAATTTTCGTTTTCAAACTTCTTAGAGAATACCAAATCACTCAGTTACTGTTCTGCTGTTCTGATAATTACAACTTGAATATGACTATAACCTGAAAACTTATCTGATAAGGCCAATCACTGAAGACCAAAAATAAAAAGTTACCAAAGACACACTGAAAAGTAACAGTACCTTCACAGATCTGACATTTGAATCCAATATTTTCATTTCTCAATTTTTCTTGAACATACTCATTTTCCTACATAATTTTAAAATATGAAAGCTCAAATTTAATATTTAAATATCATAATACTAATTCCTATGAAGAATGAACATATGAACAACTTGACATATTTGACACTCAGGAGTTTTTCAGAAAGTATTCTCCTCTCCTCCTTTGCTAATTCTTCTGTAGAGTTCTTTCCCCATTTCATTTACTGCATTGCACTTCATTTCTGGAAAACGTTCTTGAGTGTCACTGAAGTGTATCCCTGCAGACCACGAAGACGCCTTTTCTTCCCCATCCCACCTGCCGCATGCTTACTTCATGGTTAAAAAACAGGAAGCAGTCAGTTTACTGATTTGTAATTTGTTTAATTGGAAGTCATCACAAGATAGCTTCTATGGTGGTATTTAAAACATTTTAAAATCAAGGGATTAAATATTCATGCAATATTTGCATATCTTCAGAATATCTGAATTTTTAAAACCTTAATCGGTGTTCTCTTTCAAGGAAAGCCTATTGAGTTTTGAGATTTATTAAGAAATCAACAGTTTCCAAGCCTATTTAACAAAAGTTAACTAAGGAACAAATTCTGATCATTAAAACACCATAACTGATTGGTCCTAAGATAATCAATAGAAGATTACTTGAACTAAAGAATGTTTTTCATTACTTCATAAGGTACGACATGATTTTTGATAACTGGACATTTAGTTTACTCCTTTTACGCTTGTAGAAATAATGTAAACAGTGGGTTAAGATTTGAGAATTTGTCAGTTTCGCTAAAACAAATTATTTTAAAAAATTTTTATTGTGGTTGTTCAAAGAACCATAAATAATCATTAATATAGATCCTTTAGTTTCTCAAATTACTTGGTGTGTCCTTGAAAGTACACACACAAAGCCTGAAGATTCCGGAACAACCGAATCATGCAACCTGAACATACAGCAAACACTGTATCTACCTTCCCAGCATCAGCCCCGGGATATTATGCTAACCAAGTGGACATTTACATGTGCAGAACCATAAAAGTTTGTTGTTCAGAATATCACAAGATAGAGACATTTATCCTCACAATTCAAGGTAGCAAGTTCTATTTGCCAAATCTCTAAGTTGCGATCAGCAGTGAAAATTTTAACACTCAGAATACTGGAACACAGTGAACTCATAACCTACACAGCCCTGGAAATCACCAACACTGTAGGTGTCTGCATGCAGATCTTACACAGAAGTTGTTGATTTATCCTAGTCCTAAATCTTTAGATATTTCCCCCTAATTTTCAAGGATCTTAAATGCGGATTCACTTATCTTGGATGCTGGAACGCTTATCACTAAGCTTTCCACAAAGAGTAATCATGAAGTATTGTATCTCTTTGAACATTTTTCTACAGAGGAAACAGAGTTTAGTCATGAAATTTGTTCTGTCAGGTGAACCCTGGTTGGATTATGAGGAACGACACTGCTCTGCTATCTGCAGCTCTGCAAGCCTTCACTTCAGACACAGCTCCTGTCACGGGAGGGACTCAAGAGGCCGTGTCAGCTCTGCAGATAACCGCTAATGTGCCTCTGTTGGACAGCCAACTTTTGCCTACTTATCACCAAAACATGAAGAGTTGTTAGGAGAACTCAACTACCATAAAAAGACTTTTTCTGTCTTCTTTATCATTACCAAATAGCAGAATAGTCAAAGTTTCTCCTATGTCATGGTAATGGAGTGGGAATGCTGTCATCTATTAACAAAACCAGGTGATAAGAAACAGGCAGCTTCAGTTTTCTCATATTAACCATAATAAAAACAGTAAAAACCATCAAGGGTAACTACGACTACGTACTAGTTACTAGTGCACTCTGGTGAAAGCTGATGATCACATTCCATTCTAAAGAAACATAACTTCAGAAGTATTTTATTTCTTGTAGATGTGATAAACACTTTTTTAGAACTGTTCTGGTGAACTTACGGAGCAATTTAAACTGTGCCAAGATTCCAATGACATGCACCTTTTAGTTGATTGACCTGTTAGCCAACTGTAACATTTTTGCAGGTTCCCTTAGTTAATAAATGAGTTAGGAACTTTGACTCATGTTTATTTACATGTGTCTGAGAGTTACAATTTTATAGTTTTTGAAAATTATCTGGTACCAGTTATGAGTTGTGAAATTGTCCCCGATTGATCTTTGAGAAATCTATATGTAGTAAGAAAAGATTTCTAGTAACCCCTAATAAAACTTAGTACTGGACTGAGTCTTGGTTTTTCCACAAAACCTGTTATTTAAAATTTTTGATAATCTAATGATCTGAATAATATGAAACATTTTTCCAATGTCAGAAATCTAGGACCTTTACAAACATATAGTTGATATTAAGGAGATTAAGGTTTAATACTAACAATTTATAAATCAGACATAATGAACATCAAAGCATTCACAGTGTAATGTAAAACAACCAACCCCACAACTTCCTGAAGCTGGATTCCAGCCGGGGGAGGGCAGGGGCATTCTGCTGTATGCACTCTGCGAGAGGAGGTATCCTCAAAGCACAGCCACACCTTGTGTGCCACAAAGGCTCAATTCAACTTAAACCTGGAGTAGGTTTGTTTTTTAGTGTTAATCAGACTGGCTTTACCTAAGTAAAGAGGAAGTTAAAACCTGCTACATACCTACCAAAGATACATCATGAAGTTTTTCTTTTTTATAAAAGCCCTATCTTTTCTGTATTTTTAAAAATTTTAATTGACCCCATCCTGTACATAATTATGAGGTAGACTGCACTACTCCAATACATGCACAGGCATTCTCTGTTGTTGTTACTGTCACCGATGGAGCTTTGCAGGTCTGTGGATTCCTTCCTGCTCCGCCCCCTTCTCCCTATTTTCCCTCCTGTCATTTTCTCCCTTCTCGTCACAGCAGTACAGCCCTTTAGCAACCATTGCAAACCATCAACTTTCCACCATGTAAGGGGTACACTCTTAAATTTCAAAGTTCTGTTTCAATTTTTTTTCTTAAAGATTTATTATTTATTGGAAAGTCAGATATACAGAGAGGAGGAGAGACAGAGAGGAAAATCTTCCGTCCAGTGATTCACTCCCCAAGTGAGCGCAATGGCCGATGCCATGCTGATCCGAAGCCAGGAGCCAGGAACTTCTTCCTTGGGCCATCCTCAACTGCTTTCCCAGGCCACAAGCAGGGAGCTGGATGGGAAGTGGAGCAGCCGGGATTAGAACCGGCGCCCATATGGGATCCTGGCGTGTTCAAGGCGAGGACTTTAGCTGCTAGGCCACGCCACCGGGCCCAGTTCTGTTTCAATTTAAAGGCAAATTAAAGCACTGGACTTCAATGCGTATCCTAGCAATAAGCTTCACTTACTTTACATGCACCTTTGTTTCTTGACTAGGCAATTTTACAGAGCAGGGTATCGTTAACTTGTAGTACATGCACTACAACTACAAACAATATTTGTTTGTATAAATTATTTCCTGTGAAACACCATTGATTACTGCCTTGTGGACAGTAACCAGCTTTGTTTCTATGCACAAATTCATTTCAGCACGCTTTAATTATAAATTCATTCAATTTATTTCTACGTCTAAACTGTCAGTTGTGCCTCCAGAAGAGGCAAGCCAGCCTTGGTGGCAAGATGAGAGAACACAGAGCCCTGAGACAAAGTGGGTGGAGGTAGGCCTTCAGGAAACCAGCTGTTCCTTCCTGCCCTTCCGTGCCAGTTGCCTGCATTCTTTCAACAAATTCTTCCTTTAACTTGAGATGCTTTAAAAGGGTTTCTATTTCTTACAATCACGTTAATGAAAAAGACTATGGGTAATCTTACAGATCACAAACCAATATTTCCTTATCCATGTCAGTTCTCAAAGTCTGGCTGCTTTCTCTACAAATCAGAATGCAGGGAAAGTCCAAGCTCTGGAAGTGGAAATTATTCATTATTTTTAGCTAAAGGTAACCAGTTCAAACAATGATACTTATTACTCCAACAAAGATTTTTTAAATCATTTGTTCTATTACTACATTTCAAGTTCAAGTACAGATTGCTGGGAATACGCCACTGCTTAGCAAGCCCTGTATACTCATGTCTGGTTTCCTAGTTTTAATTGCTAAATTTTCTGGTGAAACTAAAGATGGTAAGAATAGGAGGAGTAAAAAGAAGAAACAAAAAGATTTACAAAGAACAATGCTGTTTAGACTTTTCTATAGAAATATCCAGATTTTCTTTGGCATAATAAACAGACACATTTCAAAATGGATTAATAATTATGCAGGGGTAAAAACAGGCTTCACTCCTCCCACTGGCATACATTTGGCATTGGTTGGGGCCAGACCAGACTGAACTTGTTCACATCACCTGCTGGCGAATCCAAGCATCAGAACAGAGTGTGGGTTAGGCCAGGTTCGGTTGTGACAAATACCAGTACATGTTAACGAATGTCAAGGTAAGATGAACCGTACCAGATGTGGCTGCAGTGCCCAAATAGTACATGTGAAAACCGGGGGGAGGAGGCAAAGCCAACAGGAATGTGGGCTGCCCTGCTGGACAACTACTTCAATTGGAAAACGTGAGTCGG